GACGTTTCTTGTTGATGATAATGATTATTGATTAATTGTCGAAAATTACGTTGATTTATTTTTGTTGAATGCGGTGTTGATAAATTTTCTTGAACCAAATTGGTTTTGATTGATGTTTTTTCTTTATTTGTAGTCAATTGATTTTTTGGTGAAGTTAATTCCTTTGCAGGTCTTGATGACTTACCTAAATTTTGTACTTTAAATGAAGACGCAGTTGATTTTGTCGATGGTGATTGATATTGTTGTTGCTGGATTGTATTCGAATGATGATGAGATGAATTTATAGACTGAACATTTTTAGGTGATGATCTAATTAATTGATGAGGATTAATCTGTATTGATGATGATGTTGTTGTTTGTACGTTGGATAATTGTTGTTGAATATCCGGATTGATATGATTGTTGAAATTTGAATTGACATAATTGTTGTTGAAATTTTGATCTATACGATTGTTGTTAATAATTAAAAATTTACCTTGATTAATCTTTTCATTTTCGTTGTATTTTATGTTGTTGTTAACATTATTGATGGAAAGTTTTCGTATGACTTTATTATCTTCATGGTTGTTTGTTGAATTGATATGAGAATCATTGATGTTGATGATACGTTTAATAATGTCAGATGGTGGATCATCAGTTTGACCATGAATAATGTACCCAAGAGATGTTTTACCAATTATGAATGGATCAATATTTTTATCTACGTTGAGAAATTTGAGACGGTTTATGTCACTATTGCCAAATAATATGTCGACTGGAATGTTTTCGTCGTTGAAGTTGATGTCGAAAATTTTATTGACATTACGTTGAACAATTTCTGGTAATGCGTTGAATTTGAATTGATTGATTGTGTCGTCGATGATTAATTTAAATTTACTTAAATGACCATAACGGTCCGGAAATTTGATGATTGTGTAATAATGACCAATAAGACGACTAAGATTTTCGCCGTAACCGTTGATACGAATTGGTGCACCTTCGAATTTTGGAAGATTCAATAATTTTACTAACTTACTCGATATAAACGATACTTGTGAGCCACCATCGAAGATGACACGTGTTTTGATGTTGTTGATTTTTGTTGTTAGAGTTTGTAGATATTGGATTGAACTATCGGTCATCGCTAAAGCTGTATTGATTGATTGGATTTCTCCATTAATTGTCGTTGATGAATTTGATGAAACAGATGTTGATGATGATGAAGATGTGGCCGCAGCCGTTGTCGTATTATTCGAAGCTGTATTTTGAGCAGGTCGACAAAGATATGAAAGATGATTACCTTTACATTTATGACAAATATAATTTTTCATGCATTCACGTGTGCCATGGTTTTTTCCTGTGCATCGGAAGCATCTTTTTTCTTTCGTTAATACTTCTAATTTATCGTTGACCGACATTAGACATGAACTATGACGATGATGTTGATGACAGAAGATGCAAGTTAGTTTGATTTCATTTTCGTCATGATCGCTGTTTGATGATGTGACCAATGTATTATGAGATTCGACATGACGATTTGATTTGGTGGTGGTGATTTGGTTGATCAACATGTCGGTAGAAGTTATTTTTCGGAGATATTCTTCAACGTTTGATAAAGTAATGTATTCTTGATCGTTGGAATTGTTTGATTGATTGAAAGCCCTGCGGCGATGTTCAATATCGAATTTTGATAGAATATGGCTTAAGATGGTTCGTCCATCGCCATCATTCAATTTGATTGATCTAATGTTTATCATCAATTCGTAATACTTGGCGTATACGATTGGTTGAGCATCTAGGCGAAGATATGGAAGAGATTGAATTTTGTTGACTAATTCTTTAATAATTACAGCTGGTGAGCCATAATATCTTTCCAACGTATTAAGTATGTTCATGAAATTTGGATTCTCTCGTTGATCTCTGATTCGAGCTTGAGCTTCCGGTGGCAATGCACCCATGAGACGACGAAATTTGGAAGTTGCTGTTGGAACGAATGTGTTGTTGATGATTAATTCCAAGGCCGCTTCTTTGAATTCGGGCCATTGTACAGCAGAACCGTTGAACTTTGGCATTTCTTCAGGTTTTATTTTCATTGGTTGACCAAAATTCAAAACGTTGTTGATAGGTGGAGATTGATTTGTTGTTATTGGTGAAAGATTTAATAATGGTTGATTATTATGAATGATTCCTTGCGACGGAATAGCTTGAATAGATCGATCTGCAACTACGATACTATTATTTGCATTATCACCTGGTGTCGGTGGACGATTTAAATCTACATTGGCTGCAGAACCAGACAATGGTGTTGATGATTGATTTGAGCCAACGTTTGCGTCAGGACTAGAGATTGATGATGATGAAATTGAAGCACTAAATGAATCTAATTTTGACTGTAACTTGCAAACCAGACCAAATGTTGAAGAAAAAATGCTTGTCATTTTGCTCAATTCGTTAATCGCTTGTTGGCATTGGTTGAATAAAAATGATGATGAAATACCCTGAGCCATTTGATGATCAATTTGCACGTAGAGATTGATAAATTTCATGATTTGATGAATTTTGTTCATGTGAACATTATCGTCTTCTTCGTTATTTTGTTCAAGTTGTAACACGATATCTTCATACTCGGAGTGCAGCGCTGAAGCTTTGTCAACCTCCGGTATTTTACCCTGAACACCTAGCAAATTATGCATTTTTGAAATTGCAATACGACAATTTTTTCGTTGTTTTAAGAGATCATTAACAGAGAGATCATTAACAGAGAGGTCGTTATCATCGAGATCGTTTTCCATGTTGTAGGAATTTGAACGAGACGATGAGATGAGAATTTTGAACGAGATGAGATGAGAATTTTGACCGGGCGTATGTGTATTCCAGAAAGAGAGAGAGAAAGAAAGACAGAGGACAGAGAGAGAGAGACAAAGGACAGAGATAGAGATGACAGAGATCGAGATGTGTATATATACCAGAGATTGAGAGAGATACGATAACCAGAGATCGATATATATACCAGAGAGAGAGAGAGAGAGATACCAAAGAAAAGAGATAGAGATACAAGAGAATTTCTAGAATACACAGAATGGATTTCTAATCGAAATGGACAAAAACTTTGTTTATTAACATTTGATTTATTTATGGTTTTAATAATGAAAAGAAAAATACAAATTCACAAAAAACATTGCGAATGATAATGTGTGTATTGTTGTTAAAAATGAAAAAATGATGATTGAAAAATAACAATGTTGATTGAGAAAAATGAACGATTTGATGCTTGACAAAAATGCTGTCAATTGAATGCGCTCTGAAGAAAACGCGCTG